ATAAATCTCTGTGGACCTGGAGACTAGAATGGCCTTTGAATTTTCAAGGCTCTAATGTTCCCTACAGATTACAGTAGAGCAAACATAACAGCAGATGAGAGGGGAACACATCATGCAAAATCCACTTGTTTAGCTGTTAAATGCWTTTCGTTGTRYACTTGGAGTGTCTAGGAGTGCAGAAAATTTGAGTTTAGTTTCTCCCGGTGGTGCGTAAATATCKTTATATTCTGTTTGTGTCATATTGTTCAGTTTTCTTTATTTTCTATGAYGGTTTCTGAACTATTACGTTAAATTATTTTTGACGGAGCTTCCAAATAAGGTCTGGATTCACCAACTACAATTTAGTCATCTTCATTCTCCTCTGGCTCTGGGTCAGACTCTGGCTCCAACATGTAAGGCTGGATGGACAAGTCTTCTGTTTAAATCTTTTAATTAATTTGTAAATAAAAGGTTTGATGCACCACTGTACAGTCGTAAACCCCTCTATTAAACTTGAATGGTTCGCTCTAGAAGCGAYTCTTGGATTTAAAGAGACAGCCTCAAAACKAGTTGAGCTGAGACACACCTCAGAAAAGAGGGTGAAAGAGGGGCTTGTGGAGTTACAATAAGGAGGAATTCAGAACAAAGTATTGCAGTTCCACTTTATATAGGYCCCAACTGAATGAYTYATATGAGGGAAAAAAGCATTTAAAAGCATGACATGTCTCCTTTAAGATGCTACAGAGATACAGTAGCTCTGATTCAACCATATAAAACACAACATGGCTCTTTTAGGCTTTTGGAAACTTTACAGGCAGTTATCATCAGTCATCTTCATCCCGCTCTCATAGTTAAGTCATGATAATCTTCAGGACAGTTTCTTTTTTCGAACCATCACCTGGCTATCATTCATTTTYCCCAAATCCTTTTCAGCAGTGACATACAGCCTGCAGATGACTGTTGAATCTTTAATGCTTCTATTACTGGCTCATCCGTTTTCTGTCTCATTTCTAAAGACAAGGCCGTGTTTTTTTAATAGCTTCACCTCTTTTTACAGAAAAAAAGTGGCACATCTTTTCATTTAGCTGCAGAAGTAAATGTTTTACCTTTATTTGCTCACCCAGAGTTGAACATTTCACCTTTACATGTCAATTCATACGTCTTTTCAGTAACAGAACGTTATAGGAAGCAGTGCTATCTGGTTTTAAACCTCACAATAACTGTCAATAACAGCCTCGTCCTCACAAACTAACTCCTAGGAGTTTCACATGCACGATGCAGCTCATGCACGTGCTGCAAATATAAACATGCGGTGCAGTTACAAGAAGTGTTTTGCTGATAATCATTTGTGGTGAGGAGCAAAGTGCTGTTATCCCRTGTTTGCAGCCCCGGTCGGCTCTCAGAAACCCACCATGGCACGCTGCAGTGCTTAACTGCAGCGCTTAACTGTATACATCTAGAAGATACAACGTGCACTTTCTGTTGTTGTGGTGAGTGCTTCTTGTCTGTTGTCACCCTATAGAGAGATAATGAGTTTGGCTTTAATCAGCTTAAAGTTTCTTCTTAAACAAGAGCAAAATAATATAATGCTTGCCAAGATCTTTGTAGGGATTAGACTGGTCCTTYAGAAATAAATCAAACTTTGCTGTTTTTCAGGTTTTTGTCATATCGTTTTACACAACAGAGTTATCTTCTAAGGGCACAGAAGTGTCTGCTTTTTTGTGTTGCACAACCCAACCACATAGGAGCGCATTTCAAAAACATCACAATCTTTTAAGCCCATTTTRCTCCTTGTTTTTTAAAGTTTGCGCAGCAGATACCAAGAGCTGCTAAAATGTGAACAATGGTCTATTCTGTTCTGCTTTACAAGCTTATGCTTARAAAATAATAGTRATCTGTCTATACTGGTYTYGAGACCATCTCTCTGCATAGATTAACCATTTGTTTTGCTGTAGAATTAAAAAGTTTGTTTACTTCTCCATTTCCCCCCAAATATTGATAAAACTGCAAAATTGAGGAAAGAAATAAAGGCTAAAAGATCTAACTTGAGGGGTCTGAAAACGGATCTACAGAAATGAAATCAACTTTAAAAATAATTGTCAGCATCATTTTTAGCCTCAACTGTTACAAAGGATCAAAACTGTACTCAAAACCTGGTAAAAAAAAAAAGACTCAATGCAAGATTCGATGCTAAATAGTTTATTAGCATCAAGGGTAAATCAAGGGTTCAAGTTTCTATTTATTTTGTGGGTGAAAAGMTGAAACATTTATTTAGAAGGCCAAAACCATCCATACATCAATAACGAAGAAATATCAAGGTATTTGAATGTAATAATTCTCAGTAAATTTTGTTACCAACTAATCATGTGCTAATGAAGCTAAGCTAAACAGAATAATTGATTTTTAACAGCTGTGCAAAATTGAATCAGGCTTTATGACGGTGCTAATGGATCACCAGGTTTATTACATTCCATCTCTGGAGCAGTTCTTTCTTTCTTTCCTTTTTTTTTTGATCTGCTATGACTGATGCAATGCTTTATTGCTTCGTATTGCATCCAAGCTCTATGTCAGTTGATGAAAATTTCTGTGGGGGTGGGGTGCCTTACACTCGAACGAGACTGCTTTCTTATGGAAACAGCTTAACTTTGCATTTTTGAGCCTGTCTCCATCCCTGAGTGAAAGGCTCCCAGATACATTGTGTTAAATGATGAATGAAGGGTGGTGGAAGTGGGCAGAAAAAGGCCTGGATGTACACTAAAATGGCACTCACTGTAGAGCACAATAGAGCCAGAGACTGAAACTCAACATCAGCCGAAGGTGAGATGGAACAGAGAGAGGACACTACTTTGAAAAAGCAAAAATAAGRAAAAAAAGGTTTTAAAATTCTGATTGTGTAAGTTTTCCATCAAGAATCAGCTTTGTGTCTCTGTAGCAGTGTATGTGTTCATGTTTGTGTATGTGTGTGTGTGTGTACTTTAACTGTCTATTGGAGAATTTATAACTCAGCCAAACCTGAACTATGTGTCTGATCACTTAAATATTTTCAATTTATTTGTTAATGATTGAGAGAACACTGGTTTCAAATACAATATTTCACCAAAACTGGTGTTAAAAACTAAAATCAGCAAAACTGTTKCTAAAAGTTACAGTTATAASRCATGATCTGAAAGGTAAATATAGTCAAACTGTAGCTAAAAGCTAAAATAAACAAAACTGTTAATAACTAAAACTAGCAAAGTGGTAGATAAAAGAGAAATGAAAGTGGTGCAGTGTGTTGACATGAAGATTCTGTGTGAGGATGTTTTTATTAGGTGTGTTTTTATCAGGCGTGGTTTTAATAGTTGTTCTGAATTATGAACTATTTATATTTTTAATTACCATCCAACCACCCGTCCATCATTTTTTACTCACATCTTCCTTTTAGTGTAACGGGGGTCRCTGGTGCTCATATCCAGCAGTCACAGTGCAAGGGGCGGAGTACACCCTGGGCAGGTCAGAAGTCCATCACAGGGGCAAACGGACAAACAAGACAAGCATTCACTCCCTCACTCACACCTAGGGACAATTATTAACCTGACAGTCATGTTTTTAGTCTGTGCTTAGGGAGAAAACCCACGCACGCACGGAGAAAACATGCAAACTCAACCCAGAAAAGTTCCTCGGCGAGATTAGATCTGGTGACTTTCATCCCACGGAAATGACAACAAATTAAATCTTGAATCTTGAAGTTATTGTGTTWGCAAAACCGTAGCTAACAGTTACATTTAGCGAAACAACAGTTAAAAGCTAAATGTGGCAAAAACATCCCTAAAAGCTAAAATTACCACACCAGCGACTAAAAGCTACAATGAGTATAAGAAGATAAAAAAAAATGGAGCAAGTTATGCTGAAGTTGATTCTAGACAATGTTTAGGTCAGAACTGAAGTGATCAATGAATCGATGAAGTCTTTAAATAAAATTTAAAATAATTCAGAAAGCATAAAAGTTACAAATACTCAAACTCACAGCACAGTATTCCTGATAGAGCCACATGATTTTATATATGAATGGTAAAACAGCTCAATCAGCATCATGAATGAACTGGAGGATTTCCTCATGTTTATGTCGGTCCTGCAGAGGCTGGATGTTTGCTGCACCACCAGCTGTGTTTAGTAGCACCTAATTTTAGGCTAAAGTGGGATGTGTTTGTGGCTCTGGCGCGTTCAGAGGTGGGATATTTATCTCAACCCCGGGACTCATTTTGATGCCCCCTTTTTCCAGATAACGTCTAACCCCTACTTATACAAATCACTCTGTGTGTTTAATACCATACACATACGGTTCTACTGAGTTATATTGAGCTTTATGAAGGATGTCACTTTATATTACGGTCAGGAATCAATATGTTCAAATAAAACACTTCAGCTTCAAGCCTCATCACTAGTGTAGAAGCGGACTTGACGTGTCGACTCACATAATATAGTTTTATGTTGTTTACACAAGTTTACAGGAAGCCCTCAAAGCTACATGGTGAATTTTAAAATACGTGTAATATGGTGTCGACTACTTCTTTCAGTTTAGCTTTCATAACTTTATTATACAACCTCCAATATTGTTTCAAATGCTCATCAGCTTTTAACAGTATATGAATTGATTAACAGACTCAAGCATTACTCTGCTCCTGCTGTATTCTGCTTTGTCAGTTAAATGATCATCCTCAGATTCTTGTAGTTATAGAGTGATTTTTATGATTGCACATTCTCACTTCTGTTTTCTAAAGTAGAATAAAACTGGTTGTTGCTTTAAAACTGAAATAATGAAGTTAGTTTAATTTTCTTTTTTGCCATTTTATTTTGGAGACCCGAATGTTTGAGGCTTTAAACGTTAAATCTTTCAGGAAATGTTGTCATTGTGATGTTTGTCTAAATGTTTCACTAACAGGTAAAACTTAGTGCARTTTTCGAGCGGGCCCCGTCTTGATGGTCTTTATGTGATGAAATAAGAAATGAACTGAAAAGCCTCCTATCCATGTGCTCCGCAGATGGAAGACATCGTTACACGAATACAAGATGAGAAAGCGGGAGGTGTTGCCATTCGGACCGTTAAAAGCTTCCTCTCCAAGATCCCAAGTGTCGTATCAGGTTTGTATCAGGAATGCGTGTGTGCGCGTCTGTGTTTGTGTAATTGACTCGGCCGGGCAGTAGCGCTCAGGGAAAACACCCGTCRGAATCAGTTAAACAAGCGTGACCTTTTGTGCTCATTTTAAGCGCTGCAACTTAAGGAAAACAGATGAGGTCTTGTAAAACGGACGCCTGTGGTGGGACGTCATCCTTGTCACAAATACAGGAAAAAACACTTTCCTTACTGTCCTCTCCGTCTGCGTGCCTCTTTTTGCGAAAGCTCTTGCGTTTTTGCTTTTGTTAAAATGAGTCACCTGCATTTGGTGAGGAGATTGCTCCCTCCTTCTGTGAGGCTGAGTCAGTCCTTTGCACGGCTCCCGAGGGTCTGATGGCCTCACAGTCTCTTCCATCAGCCTCTGCTGAGCACCAAGGCAGGACCAAAAGTTGTATTGTCCAGGAACGGAGGGAGAAAAGACTGCAAACCTGTCACCATTAAGCTTCATTTAAACACCTACACATCTTTGACAGCTTTAACCTGCAGCTGGCAAATCACAAAAACCTGATTTGTGCATTCAGATTTGTGACCCCGCTTCTGACCGACATCTCTCTCTCTCTGATTAACAGGAACAGATATTGTCCAGTGGCTCATGAAAAACCTCGCCATTGAAGATCCGGGTAAGCCTGCTGAGAAATCTGTCAATAAAACACATCAGCGCTCAAACTAGAGAAGAAAGGGTTTGTGTTTATGCCTTGTTTCGTGTCACCAGCTGAAGCCATCCACCTTGGGAGTCTGATCGCGGCCCATGGCTACATCTTCCCCATCAACGACCACGTTCTGACACTAAAGGATGATGGAACCCTTTACCGCTTTCAGGTACCCAGAGGTCCGCTGAGGGACTGTCCTTGATATGTTTTAGGGAGGCTGTTGACTGGAGAATAACGCAATGATGGTWGTTTATCAGAGGGATGTGTTTACTGCGTGAAGCTAATGAGAACAATCCTTCCTAAGCCTATTACTCATCCCACCAAGGTCGATAACTATATATCCCTGCTGGGTGCTGCATCAGAGCAAGAGGGTGGTAAAACAGGTCAGAAGGGTCAGAATGTTTTCTTTTACATCTTTACTCTGTTTGACCCAGCAGGAACTTTCACAGCTTCCTCTGTTGTCTGTGGCTAAATGAGTTAAGGTAGAAGACCGCCATCGAAGGGAAACTCTGTTTGTGTGCTTTCTCTGCACTTTTCATTGTCCTCCCACCATCCTCTTCACTTCACTTCTAAAAGCATTTGTCTTTGTCTCAATTGMACAAGATTAAAAGCCATAATTGTGCCTGTGTGTGCTGCACTTTCACATTCAGCAGGGGGCCTAAAATATTCCCTCAGATGTTGATGCAACAGGCCCACATCATCAGAACCTCTGAAAAGAGTCCACAGTGCATCTGTAATGTATTGCCTAATCTGCGCAGCAGTGCTGTAAGACACAGTGGCAGCCTAAAAATAGCTGTGGTGCTGGTGGAAGACCTAGATTTAATGGCAAGTGTCTTCTGCTGTTTGTCACACTTTTTTGCATAGTGTTACAGATCTTTATTATTTTTATTCTGAGCCAGCTGCTGAAAGCAAGTCAGTTGTTCTTTTCAGTTTGTTCAAACGGGTGAATGTATGAGCGACAGCCTTTTTGTCCACAGCATAATTTGGAAAAACAGCACAAATAAAATACTTTATGGTTTTTAGGGTCTGTTTTCACAGCAATACATAATAAAACATGTATACTGGATACTTACCTGGTATTTCCCTGGTAAGTACCCAGTATGTATTAGTTAAGTATCACAGCAGCAAACACCAGGTATGTATCAGGTACATACCTTGTTAAAATCAGGTATGTTCCAGGTGCATAACAGGTAAAAACCAGTGACTTTCTGGGCATGTACCAGGTATGTATTGGGTATGTACATGTTAAGTACCTGGTATATAACAGTATGTACCAGGTAAGCACCTAGTTTAAACCAGCTATGGTAAGAACTAGGTAATTAGCTGGTATGTACAGTGTGTACCAGGTAAGCAAAACCAGGTATGGTAGGAGCTAGGTAACTACCTTGTATGCACAGCATGTACCAAGTAATTACCTAGTTAAAACCAGGTATGGTAACTGGTAAGAACTAGGTAAATACCTGGTATGTACAGTATGTGCCTGGTAAGCAAAACCAGGTATGGTAAGAACTAGATAAGTACCTGGTATGTACTAGTATGTGCCAGGTAAGTACCTAGCTAAAATCAGATATTTACTGAGTAAATACCAGGTACATCTACAGTAAATATCAGGTATGTAGATGGAAAAGACCAGGTAGATACCAGGTATGTGCAGGGTGCGCAACTGGTAAGTGCTTAGTACATACCCTGGTTAAAACAAAGTAAGGACCAGGTGCATATTTGATAAATACCAATACCCACATATTTACACAGTAAGCGCTAATTAAGTACTGGATATGTACCTGGTAAATACCGGTTTGTACTCTCAGTGTGTACCTGGTAAGTATCTGGCCAAAACTAGTTAAGTACTGGACACAAACCAGGTGTGTACCTAACATGTACTTTTATTTTCCCATTTGATGGGAGCTATCGGTTATTAATGGACTGGGGAATTAACTTTGAATCTATAATATCATTTGCAGCAATGCTCTGAAAGATATGACTGCTCACCAAAGGTCACAAACAATTTTAAGATAACTGCAGAGATAGTGTGGGTGGTAGGGAAAAGAATAGTCATATTGTTTATTTTGGTCAAGAAGGTCTAAAATCTAAGGATGCAATCGCTTTGTTTTATATTGTTGTGTTTTATTTGTCTTTCTTCTCACCAGTCTCCATACTTCTGGCCTTCAAACTGTTGGGAACCTGAGAACACAGACTATGGTGAGTCACACGTTTCTCCAACCCAGCTTGGATGTCCCCTAATACCTTCACCCATTACTTTCTCCACAGTTTAAACACAGCTCACACACTGTAGATCTGCCGTTGACACTCAGTGAGTATTGATCCAAAGGGGCCATTCCCTGTAATGTATCTGGCTCCGAGGAACATCCACCAGAGAGAATCCTCTGAGATAAAATTAGTCTAACAAATCAAGGAACAGTGACTGATTGGGCTCCATTTTTGAAGCTTTAGGTGGTGCTCGAAACAACACATAGCCTACCTGAGCCATTAAGTTAATCAATCGATAGTGTTGCTTTCCGAATCTAAAATGTTGATTTAAAGGGAAGCCTGCCTTTTTGTCAAAATTACCTGCTCTTTTTACGTTTCCYTCTGTCTCCCTTCAGCCATTTATCTGTGCAAACGCACCATGCAGAATAAAGCCAGGCTTGAGCTCGCTGATTACGAGGCAGTAAGTACTTTTTAAAAAACTTTTTTGATTAAAAACTTAAACAGGAARTTTATTGCTGTCTTCGTGCTTGGAAAAGCATATGATTTACAATTTTTGTGGAGGTTGTTGTTTCCAGGGTTTCGTGTCAGCAAGATACGATCAAATTGTCAAATGTGTGTGTGTGTATTTTTTTTTTTTCAGGAAGCACCATTAGGATGGCTGTAAATTTTCTGGCCCTAAAATGTAACTAAAAATATCTGCAGAATTACTCAGCATCAGCAGATCAATACGGTCTCAGGAGGCATGTTACTATAGTGCTGATCTGGTGCTGCTGCACACAACAGCTATCTGCCTCACTTTAATATTCCAAATGACTCTGCAACTATTGTCAAGTAAACTTCTCTTCTCTGCTATTCGGGTCACTTTATGCCTCCAGGCCTTGTTGCTCTCACTGTTAACATGCCTGCTGGTTGGAGTTTTTCACTTTGTAATGAGGTCACCYTTAAATCTGCACCAGATGCTTTTTTGAGCGTTAACAAGGACACATACTTTTAATTTTAACATTGTTAACTTTTTTTCTTCCCCTCATTTTTTTAAATAATATTTTGATATTCAAGATAAGAACCTGAATTAAGGAGCTACCGTTCTTTGAACGACTTCTTTAAGTGTCTCAGTTTCATCTTCAAACTTTGAAAATCGTGATAGCCGTGGCAGCCATCCTGAGGTGAATTGACTACAAAAAATAAAAGTTATACATGTACAAACCATGATTACTTTCAGAAAGTTAAAATAAAAATAAAAAAGGAGACAAGTACATGATATGATGCATACGTAGACATGAGTGAACACACTATCGCTTTAACATCGCTGAGCTAGAAAAAAAAAATCCAAACTTTTTTATTTACATTTTCAAGGAGAACCTCGCCCGGCTGCAGAGGGCTTTCGCCAGAAAGTGGGAATTCATCTTCATGCAAGCTGAAGCTCAAGTCAAGTGAGTCCATTTTTTTATTTAATTTTTTTTTGGCCTTGGTGTCATTCTGCCATGACAGGTTAGAAAGTTGTTATTGAGATCTGGTGTTTATATTTAGTACCAATGC